CAAATTTAGAGTAAACAATTTTAAACTCCTACTCCGTACATGGTAAATCCTTGTTGGAAACTTGGAATCACTGATACTTTGATTCTTTTGAATTAACCCATGATTAAGATTTATTGGTATGCATGGTTTAATAACTTTCTCTCATACCAAATTCTCCATTTGTTTTTGTGAAAAATCAATGTTTTAAAAATATGTTGGATTGGTTAGGTTTTTTTGTTGGGTGAGTAAGAGCTTGTTTGGGAGTGATTAACTTCTGGATAAAGTGATTTCCACAAAAGCTGAAAGTAAAAACATTTTATACATGCTTCTCCAAAACGGTGTTCTGTGTATAAAATAGTTGTGGTGAAAAGCAGAAGCTGATATGCCAAACAGAATAAAATCATTTCCATTCAAAGCATAAGCTAAATTATTAAAAGCAGCGCACCGCCAAACACTCTCTAATTCTCCCACATTTTAGGGATCTACTTTTCGTATTGCCATATTAAGACATTCCACCAATGGGTCTAGTGTGTAGGTGTTGTAGACCTTATCTTTTATAGGCCCTTTGTCCCCTAACAAATTTTTCATGTCATTTTTTTTGTTTGGTGTTTTAAAATCTAGTCTACTTCTTTCATCCCACCACATTACTCAAATCAATATAGGGAGTATAATTTTAATTTTTTTATTTAATAGATATAAAGATGGTTATAAAAATAAAAAAAATTGCACATTTAAAAATTCTATAAAAAAATTTCAAAATAAGAAATGATAAGACTATTTTGTTTTATCAAATACGAGTAATTAATTAAAACATACAAATAAACAAAAATTTCCCTGATTTTTGAATAGTGACTTGAGGCATTAGTTCTTTTTAATAAGGCATTTTTCTAAATTAGTCCCAAATAAGCAATAGTTACCAACGTGGTCGTTTGTATTTGAGATGTATTCCATAAATAGTCCTCTGCCAAAAATGTCTATTAAATATCAATAAAATAATTAAAAGGTATTATGGCATTTTCAATCATCTAGACTTAAAGTATGTTCTCAAAATGCTCTTTTATAATTATGTATTTTTCAAACAAATAATTTATAAGTAAACGTTTTCTCAAAATGGAGTTCATGAACCTACTCGAGGTGAGTCTGTTCCTTTAACAACCATCAACTTAATTTGAAAGGACTATTTTGAAGACATATTCAATTATATAACTAGTCGTATAGTGGCTCGGCATATCATGTCAATGGAGGAGTTCCGAGAATAGCCCTAGCCGACCAAGGTAGGCACACAAAAATCTATCCCACTTGAAAAGGTCGGGTGGTGGAGTTTCAAGCCAAAGACACGTTTGGTAAAGCACACTCTCCTCCCTATTAAATTCTTGCATTCACTCTCACTCCATCTTTACCTATTTTATTAAATTATTTGATGGAGTAAAATATTTTTATCTCATCTTATTTTATAAAATTTTTGATGTAGTTTTGAACAGTGTAATTTTTGCCTTTTTTTCTCTATCTACCAATTTGCAAACAAAACAATTTTAAATGAGATGATATTTTGCATGTCTTTCAAAATATTGCAAACAAATTGGGATGGAGGGAGTAGATTTCTGGTGTAAGTAAATGCTTGCTATTGAGATAAATAATTACTTCATCCGTTTTAAAACGTCTTTCCCGTTTCTGTTTAAAAACTATATCAAAAGTTTTACAAAATAAGAGTCTATAAGATTATATTATCTTATCAAATAACTATCAAAAATAGATAGAAAAGTGATTGAAGTTAATCATGTGAAGAGTAACTGGAAAAACGTTTTAGGACGGAGGGAATAATTTTTTTATCAACAAAATGTGGGAGAAGGATCATAAAAAAATTATGGATTACATAAGTTTGTGTGTGAGGTTATGATACTTGATATTGTATTGCAAGCCCACAAAAATATTGATGTCTATATTTTTATTCCTAACATAGGACATATAATGCTAATAAAATTGGAGTATATAAAATGTTATATTGGAGTACATAAAATGGCATATTGTCTCAATGCGATAATTTAAGTTTTTGTTTTTAGAGTTATTTATTAAAAATTGGTATAGAAATTGTTAAAATATATCTTACATCAGACATTGTTAAAGCTCTTTTAAACTATTTAGGTAGATTCAGTTAAAGACTACGAAGTATTTCTTTTAATTTTATACTCGTATTCAAGTTATTCACACTCAAACTATAGATTCCATAATGTAGATTTTGGATTTCAATCTCGAAGTACGAGATTTCAAATTCCATCACAGACACACACAGACCATCATTATCTTTGCACACACGGACAATGATGATATATGTGTGTCTCTGAGACACTTGTTTGCAAGTTGCATTGGGATATAATTTTTTTTATACCCCTAGTTTTTTCCATTGTTTTAAACTCTTACTTCAGACTCTCTTTTGGATAGTTGGATGGGAGCCTTAGCTTTTTAAAAAGATGAGCAATATCTAAGGATTTCTTCTGAGATTTAGTCTGACGGGCACCAAAAGAATATAAATTGAATTTTGATAGCAGATATGTCAATTGCACTTGGAATTAGAATAATTATCTTCCAGTGCAGTTCCCAGGAATTGAAATGTTCATTAGTACTTAAGGGTGGACACTATACGGTTCCGATTCGGTTCTGGTTTCAAAACTGATGTTTTCAGTACCTCCACACCATGGAATCGGTACCGGCGCCGGTTCCCGCACCGGCTGTTCCGGCACCGTACCGGACCAATTTGTTCCGCCTTCAAAAATAACCTCCCACCCTCCAAACGGCTATGTATTGGCATTGGAGACGCTCACCAGGTTTGCAACGATTGCAGGAAAGAAAGAAAAAAGGGGGGAAAAAATACAAAATTGAACCCGAACCGGTACTGGAACCGCCGGTTCCAGTCCCAATCCGGGTCCGGTCTTCTGTACGTATCGTTTCACTGTCTCCGTCACCGGCCACAGCGACGAAACTGCCGGTTCCATACCGAGATCGTGTTCAGCCCTATTACTACCACTAGTACAAAAATGACCAAATAAATCGCCTCATTTGCATCGTTAAGCTAAACAAACGATGTAAATGCAAAAAAAAATTCGCGTATCGCTTAGCTTTTGGATCGGTTATCCGTAATAACCGATGCAAAAAGTATTTGAATCGGTTATCACGGATAACCGATTTAAAAGCTGACCATCTTTTGGATCGGTTATTCCTTATAACCGATTTAAATACCTTTTGAATCGGTTATTAGTAATAACCGATCCAAAAGAGTGTGATAAAATTAGCCAACCCTACCTTATCCTTCGCGTTTTTGAAAAAAAAACCTCCAATTCCGTTCTTCGTCTTCGTCGTGCTCTTCGTCTTCGTCGTGCTCTCCGTCGTCTTCAACTCCACACCACGCTGTCGCCTTTCCCATGTCGCCCCCAAATCTGGTCTAATTGCGCCGCCTTCGTCCA